CCTATTTAGAGCAAAATACTTTCATTTTCTTTCTCTCAATATATATATTCTGCCTTTCAACTCTGTTGTTCCTAAAATTCATTCTTGCATTTTAGAGAACACAAACTCATACCAGACAAAGAAGTTCAGGAATTTCATTCCACTATATCATGGTATGGTTGCCTCTCTTTCTAACTAACTCAGCGGCCTGTAAATTTAAGAATTGTTTATCAATTTGATTTGGAGTAACTGTAGCAAATAAAATGTTCTTAACGAATATAGGGAAATATATCATTAAATTGAAAAAATGATTATCACAGTTTTTCCACCTAGCACCAGCCAACATTTTCAACTTTCAAATATGTGGGAAAACAAAAAATAAAAACAACTCAGAAAATAGCAATCCTATAAGGGACAGTATATCATTCACTGTAATTGTCATGTTATCTGCAGGTATTTCATAGACAACAAAAGAAATATTGAGCCTATTTAATATCAAGTATCCATTTCAATAAATGTGCTCACAGCACTGCATCGTTGACAACTGTGATTTTTTTCTGTATCAGGGATTGAACTCATGACCTTGTGCTCTCCAGGCAGCTCCTTGTATACCTCAGCTCAATCCCCAGACCCAACCAATTTAGATACTAAATATGACTATTAACAATGTTTAATTTGTCATTGACATATTTAGTTATAAATTTTATAAACCTACATTTTCAAAAATGAAATTATTTTCTTTTCTTGTGGTTTAAATTACTTTTTTTTTAGGTACCAGGGATCAAAGATACAACCTAGCACTTTCCAGGCAGGCGTTTCTGCCTCCTGAGCTAAATCCCTGGCCTGTATTAATGAATATTTCAGTTTATTCATTCAAATAGAACTGTGATTTTAGCAAAGGATGTCAAGGTAGACAGAAATTGATATACAATCAGAGAGGAACTGGAACCTCAAATAATCAATGCAAAATACTAAATACAACAATCACTGTTACAGGCACAGCTGAAGAAAGCCCGACCTGAATGTGAAGATGCAGTGACTAGGTCTACATGCTCCTGAAGAGAAAAACAGCAGCTTGAAATGTAGTACAGTTACCACCACCCCCTCCAGGAAGTACTGAAAGGCATCAATTACCATACTCAGTGACCAGAACAACTGGACTATTGTTCCCACAAAATGCCTTGGCTCTTTCCACATACCTTTTCTGGCTGACTTGTTCCTTGTTGAATAACATTAGTTAAGCAGCTATAAGCTTATAGGTTGATTGTAGTCTGAGACCCACACTGTAATCACATTGTGACTTTCCTGTATAAATGATCCCTGACAATAGGTCTATGGCCAAAACACCAAAGACCACTCCTGATAATTCAGGGCTATAGGTCTCTCTTTTTTTGTAAGAAAATTTTTGAAATTCTTTTGGTTTATGACTTCATTTCTCAATGTTGTGAGCCATTAAACTTGATGTATTTGATATCAAACATGGCAGGATTATATTTCTCTTATCTCAATTTAAATATGAAATGTCTGCAAAAGGCATTGTTCCAAATCCAGAATTTCAAGCTGCTTGTTTGCCCTGAGTTTAAAATTTCAATGAGCTTTTAGAAGTCCTCAGTCTAATGAACTGCACATGTATTGGAGGAAGGAGGTCACTGTTGTCCTGTAGCACAATAGGTGCCATTCCTAAGTCTGTGTTTGTCACTGCCTCCTGGATGCCACTACATGGCCTTCTTTCCTCTGCAGCATCATTCAATAATTCCCATTTTACATAAGTCAAATTTCACTCAGCTCTATTATTGTTTGTTTTCAATAGTCTTTCTGTCTACTTGGTTGGGTTTTTTTTTTCATTTTAGTTTTTTGATTTAAAGACATGGTCTCACTTTGGAGCTCTGGGCAGCCTTGCACTCACTATGTAGGTTAGGCTGTCTTTGAATACATGGCCATTCTCCTGTTTCAGCTTCTTCATTGCTGGGGAAAAGAGGTAGGCATTATAGCACATGGCATTTGTCTTTTTCTCCTCTCCTTTTCACTACTATTCTTTCATTTCAGGGGCACTGTCATTTAATCCTGAGGTTTGCTTGTGTCAGTAAGGTTTCTGCAGCTCGAGGTGATTTTGTGAACAATAATATAGGAAGCCAAGCAACCCAATTGAGAAATGTGGAATTTCATTAGCTGGGCTCAGCACCACTTGTATACAGAAACCCTAACCCCATTAAAGGATCTAAACAAGAGGCTCTGAACTGGAATGTTAGAGATGTTTTAAAGATAGAATCACAAAAAGATCCTGTTGGAAATCATTTAGCTAGAATCTTATAATAATTTTTGGATGACAACTGTATTCTGCTTCTTTTGTTGAGCAGGTTAATTTTTTTCTTTGGGTACAGCTCATTTTGCTTTTCTCCTGGGACTTATACCCTCAGTGATTTTCCATTTTTCTGAGTGAAATACAAGGGCACTAGTTAAATGCAAAGCTCAAGATGGCATCTATTAAGCCAACCTACAACACAGCTAAGTTACAAGTCTCAATATTTTTTAGGGTAAAAACACACATATTGATAATCCCACACTCAAGACGCTGAGATAAGAGTGCTGCTTTGAGGTTAGGGCAATTCTGTGCTCCATAAAGGGTTCAAATATAGCTCATCTACATAGAGAAAACTTGTCTCAATAAAACAAAACTAAACTAAACAAATAAAACCAAACAAAACAGCTGAATGGAGACTGATTTCTTCAAATCTTAATTCCACATCTTGGGGATTAATTTTTGTATATACACATTTTTTGAGACAGCAAATTTAACACTATATTGCAACTCACAGCTAATATAACAGCCAAATAGGAGTACTGATTCTTATGCTGAGTCACTGCAAGAGTCCCTGTGCACTGTCTCTAAAGCAGAGCTCATAGTGAAAGCCTGCAGGACCAGCATCCATAACACAGAGGTAGACAAATATCTCATCAATCACTTTGATGTACTAACAATGATATCTCTTCAAATCTCATTTATGCCACTGAGTCCTTTGTTCTTAATATACTTAAGCAGCATTTTGATATTTAAATTTAGATTCATAGAACAAAACATAAATAACATCAAATACAATACATAAATAATAACTCATGTTTATTGAAAACTGCTGTATGTAAAAAATGTATAAACAATGAAACCAGGTACAAGTTTCAAATTATAGCTCAGTGTCACCAAGTGATCACCAAGTGATCACTCTCCATTCAGATAGAAGAAATATATCTTGGGAGGCTGATGCAGGAGAACTGCCTTGAGTTTGGGGCTAGCCTAAGTTACAGAGCTGTCTGAAATAGAGAAACCCTGACTGAGACACCCAAAGACAATGTGAAACTTGAAAAGTGACTGCATACGACACCTTTGGTTTGCTTTAAAAATTATATCCATACAATATAGAAAAATTCCATAATATTCAACATTTTCTGAGGAAGAATGTTGATATCATACATAGTATACAGAAAACACTTTCAGAGCTGGGTATTTAACTCAGCAGCATGAACACCTACCTAGCAAGCTTGAGATCATGAGTTCAATCCCTGTTAAAAAAAATTCAAATTTCACCTTCATGACACTGGGTCATAATTAGAGATAATCAAAACTAGATCTCAAGTGAAAAACAAAGAATTCATGGGTTGACAAGGATGTGGAATAGTGATTCTCACCAGAGCTGGTGTTATCCCCCTCAAGGAAGGAATCATAAGCCAACTTTAACTTCATGCTTACCCTAAGAACTACCTGACTTTCAGGGAAGACCCTCTCTGTTGTATGTCCTGCTATTGGCACACTGTATCCTGCCAGTCACTTCCACATCCTTTCCAAGCTTGTCTGATCTACCCTAAGCAGAAAACCATTCATGCCTTAACTACTGATATCCCTGCACAATTTCAATTTAGGGCATCTCTTTACATGAATTAGTAAAGTCCATTACAGAGCATTTTCATATTTAAACAATGTATATGATCAACCAAGCTATTAAATCACCTCTTAATTCAGATATGACACCCATATTCCTTTCCATTCAGAAGGATATCACATGTACATATATGTTTATGCAAATGACTAAATTTAGGCATTTTTCAAGGAGAATTTAACAGGCAGCCCTTTCTGGAATTTGTCCTTAGTAAACACACTTTTCCCTGCCCTTGATGACACATTTATATCTGCTTCATTTTCTCAAAATTTAAACCTCTATGGATGTTCTCCCAAACATCGTCTATGAGCACATGTGTCACATCAAGTATGTTCAGAAATTCTTTGCATTGTTCTGTATAATACACAGGAGTTCATCCGGTGTTTGGGGAGCATTTCTCCACTGAGGCACATCACTACACATCTTTGAATTCTCAGAACCTTTGCCTCCACCTTTCATGAGCATGGAAATATGAGAACATAGTATAAATTTAGACGATCACAAAATACATAAATGCATAAGTTTAAGGAGAGCAATTGTGGCTATGAGGTCCTGCAGCACAGACATTTATAAACTTCTGGCTTTCAGATCTGTTGCTGACAGGAATGAGAGCAGAGACCTAGCTTATTACAGCTGCACCCAGCTTGAAACCACTTCGGAATCAGGGTCTCCTCATGCCTTGTCCTGGGTCCAGACTGTTGGAGGAGCAAGGGCAGCAGGCGATTTCAAAAATGGCATTGTGGCCTGGGGGTATCACAGTGGCAATAGCGTTCAAGGGACCCAGAAATATCCTGACCCCAGCTAGAGGTAAAAGGGACACAGGATGACTCCCTTCTAGCACAAGAGGACCTCAGGGTCTGAGGCTAAGAACACAGGCTCTAGACAGCACAGCAGCTTCTCACCACTGGTTTTTTTTTTTTTTTTTTTTTGGTCTTTTTCCTTTTAATCGGTACTGGGGATCAAACTCATGACTGCGTGCTTTCAAGGCAGGTGCTTATGCCGCTGAGCTAAACCCCCAATCCTTTCTCACCACTTCTAACTGGTCTCATCCAGATTCCACCCCATTTCACTGCTCCCATCCCATAACATCACCATTGTGTAGTTTGGAGGTCTCCCAGGTTCTTTCTAAGCAGTCCACGGAGAACAGAAGCAAAAAAAGTTGTCTAGCAAACATCTAGCGCTCCCTTTTTTGCCCTGGCCTTGCAATTGACGCCATGACACTGGAAGAGACCGCCTACGTTGGCCCTCCTGATTGGACAGTTCTTACAGCCCGCTTCTTCATCACTGATTGGCTCCTGCTCAAAATCAACGAACCTATGAATTTGAAGCTTAGCTAAAGGAATGCCCCTACTCTTTAACAAAGAGGAAATAACTTGTTCAAAAAGTTCCCGTTCTGATGATTGGGAGTTACCCATTCTCAATCCCTGCTTATATGCCACTCCCTGCTACTTTCACTTTTCACTTACCTGGGTCCTCTGCAGCAGCGGTCTTCTCGCAACTCCCGATTCTCCTTCCACTGGAAAAACGCTCCGAATGCTTATATTCCAAGCCCCAAGTTTGGACGCCAGGTGCCAGGTGCCGCGGCCAGCTGCGGGGAAGGAGTCAGGCGAGAGACTGAAGACACAGGGAGACCAGTTGCTCAGGAGGCAAAAGGCAATTTATTGAAGGACTACAGAGTTTTTATAATGTTTCAAAACAAAGAGCAGTACAAGTCACTTCAGGACACATTCTTGTGCACACAGCAAAAGTAAACATGCTCCTGGGCCCATGAGAAACTTCTATGTTGTGCAGCCCAGGAGGTAAACATGTTCTTGGGCCCATGAGAAACTTCTATTTTTTTATGTTATGAAGCTATTCCCAGGTTAATATCAGCGCGATGCTTTGTCTAGAAGGCTGAGGTTACTGCAGGACCCCTGGCTCCCGCTCCCAACAGTGGTCCAGGGATTTAGCTTAAGCACCTGCCTCGCAAGCTAGAGGTCTTGCATTCCATCCAAGATCTTGCTACCACAAACTGTGCTGCTATAAACATGGGTGCACATATATCACTGTGGTATGATGATTATTATTCTTTTGGGTAGATACCCAGAAGAAGAATAGCTGCGTTGAGTGGGTCTGTAGACCTAGTTTATGTGAAACCTCCACACTGATTTCCACAGTGGTTGCTTTACCACCAACAGTGGAGAAGGGTTCCTTTTCCCCCCACAACCCCTCCAGCATTCGTTATTGTTTGATTTCTTGACAGTAGTCATGTTTTCTGGGGCAAGGTGACATATCAGTGTTATTTAATTTCCAATTGTAAAGTGATAATTTATGCAGAACAATTTGTCACATATTTATTTGCTGTTTCTATTTCTTCATCTGAGAACTGTGTATTTCACCTCAGATGCACATTTTTGGATTGGGTCTTTAAATCTGGGAAGACTGAAATTTTTTAGTTTTCCATACTCTATTATAGTAACACTTTGTCTGAGGAACAGTTGGCAAACATTTTCTCCCACGTTGTGGGTTGTCTCTTCAGTCTGTTAGTGATTTCTCTTGCTGTTAAAAAGTTTTTCAGTAGGGTGAATTCTCACTTAATTCTCTTTGATTTTTGCTGTGCAATCCAAGTTTTCTTCATAAAGTCTTTGCTTACATCAATGTCTTCAAGAATTTTACTTACTCTATCTTGCAGCAGATTTAATGTTACTGTTTTAATATAAGATCTTTGATCTATTCTGATCTTAGCTTAATACACTTTGAAAGATAATATTCAGAACATATAGAGCCAGTTTTTCCAGCACCATTTATTAAAGAGGCTGCTTTTCTTCCAATGACTCTGTTTGGCAACTTTGTCAAAGATAAGATGGTTTAGTGGTCTGGGGTTGTTTCTCCATCTTCTAATTTGTTCCTTTGATCTTTGGGTCTGGTTTTGTTTGTTTTGTTTTTTGTCAGTACCACACCTTTTTTTTTTTTTAAATCACAATGCCTTTATAGTATAATTTCAAGTCAGGTATTTTGATGAGCCCTATCTTTTCTTTGTTGCCCAGGATCACCTTTGCTACTCTAGGTCTCTTCTGGTTCCAGATGAATTTTAGGATTTATTTTGTGTAATTCTTTGAGATATGCTACTGGGTTTTGATTGGGATTGCACTAAATCTGTACAATAGCTTTGGAAGTATGGTCATTTTCACTATATTGAATTTCCCTACCCAAGACTATGGGATAGCTCTTCATTTTAGAATATCATCTTCAATCTCCTTGTTGAGAGTACTGTAGTTTACAGTGTAGAGGTCATTTACATCCTTTGTTAGATTGATTCCTAAGTATTTCATTTTGTTGGATGCTATTGTAAAAGTTATTGTTTCCTTGATTTCTCTTTCCATGAGTTTTTTATTCTTGTTTAAGAAGTCTATTGATTGTTGAGTGTTGCCTTTGTAACTGGCTATATTACTGAATTTGCTTCTTAAACTAGAAGTCTTTTGGTGGAATTTTTAGGGTATTCTAAGTAGAGTATCATGTCTTCTGCAAATAATGACAGTTTAAGATTTTCCTTTACTATCTTTATACCTTTTATTTCTTTCTCTTGTCTAATTGCTCCAGCTAGTTTCCAGGACTATATTGAGTAAGAGTGGAGACAGTAGACATCCTTGTTTTGTTCCTGATTTTAGACTGAAAGCTTTCAGTTTTTGTCCACTTAGTATGAGGTTGACTGTTGGTTTTTAATAAAAGGCTTTTATCAGATTGAGATATAGATCATCTCTCCCAATTTTTATAGGGTTTTTATTATGAATAAGTGATGCACTTTGGCAAAATCTTTTTCTGCATCTATTGAAAAGATCAAATGATTTTTGCTTTTGGATTTGTCAATACGGTGTATTATATGTATGGATTTATGTATGTTGAACCACCCCTGCATCCCAGGGAATAATTCCACTTAATCGTGTTGTAAAATCTTCTTAATGATATTCTGCAGTCTGTTTGCCAGTATCTTATTGAGGATTTTTGCTTCAATGTTCACTAGGCAGAATGGTCTGTAATTCTCTTTCTTATTTGGATTGTTCTCTGGTTTCGGTATCAGGGTAATGCCTGCTTCCAGGAATGAATTGAGCAGTACCATTTCCCATTTGATTTCATTAAATTTTGAGAAGTGGTGGTGTTAGGTCTTCTCTAAATTTCTTATTAATCCCTGCCATTTCATGGCTACCCCTGCTTTATTTCAAGGATCAGTGGACTCTTTCCATAATGGGCTGCAAATATTTTCAGGATTCAGGTTCAGTCCTCCAGGAATAAAAAATCCCCTGATGTCAGAAAATATTCTGAGAACAGGCCAGGGAAGGACACAACAGAACAGAGTCAGAAGTCTGTGTTAGAGGCAGCAGACTTTATTTTAATGATTTTCACTGATTTCTATTAATTTTCCACCTAGAAACCCAGTACGTGAACACAAAAGGAGCACAGTTACTGTGTAAAGGGAAGACATTACATTTAAATGATAGTAATGGTCTGCAACAGAGTAAAGATGAAATAAAAGCAAGCATCAGTTCTCCAAGACAAGCTTGCTACTCATTCAGACTCATAAAAATGCTGAATTCTGAAAGTCATCATATTGCCAAGCATGGAGGTGACAATTATTGCTGAAATGGAACAAAATTCCTAATCCAATTGAACATTTCCTTCTGATGAGACAGGGATACCCGAGGACTTCACACGCTAAGTTCCCCTTGCCATATAGTTCCCTTGTCACTAATCGGCACTCAGCTGTTCAGGATTTTAACATTCCTAGGAGTCCTATATTTCCTAAAGCCTGGGGATCCATTTTTTAACACCTTTTTGGCTTCAGAATTCTGTAGGATATTACTATGATCGCTTCTATATGTATACACTGCAGCCATGTGTGTTGGGACCCATGTACCAAATCTGGTCTCTGGATCCTTCCTCTCAGGTTCTGAAACTGTTCTCTGGCTCCTTGACCTCATAAAAAATTTGCCTTTTCCTTTTCACTTTTTTCCAAGATATTTATGCTTTGGAAACAGTCAAAACCAAACTTCTCTCATGGAAACAATGAGATAAAGAATATATTTATTTTAAATTCTGTAAGTCAGGTATTTTGTACCTGTATAAAAGTAAAGAAATTCATATCTAATATAATTCAGCTAGCTGTATGTTCTGAATAATCTTCCAAATGCATCAACTCATTCTTCAACTAATTATGTAAATGAATTTTTAATCTATGAAAACCCTAACAGTTTTTTAGCTTTTACCTGTTTCAGTTTGACTCCAGCAATTCTTTGGAGATCAAAACCACGTAATTTCCTGTACAATCCATTCTCTTTCAAGCAGGCATAACTGGCATCTGGTGACGAATTCATGGTTAAAACAAATGAACTGCTAGAAACTCCGAGACTCATGTTACATACTACTTAGCCAGTTGATGGAGGCCTCCTTTATTATCTACCAATTTCACGTATAAGTACTGACTTAGAAAAGTTATGCAGAATACTCACAATGATGTAAAGAGGTGTATAATCATGATTTCTGAGAAATCACTATAATACCCCTCAATATGTTAATGAGGTAGCATATGTTGATAACTTAGCAATATATTTGTTGATAATAACACTTCCATCTACAGGTAAATAAAATTTACATGCAACAAAATCTTCGGGAAAATTACAGTTATCCTATCTGAAAGTTAATTTTCTGTTGGGGCCTATGCCTAAATATCTAGCCCCCCAAAAAGTGCACAGCAAAGGACCAAAAGAATCAGAAAAGTGGCATTGTCTTGAGGGCAACAGGAAGAGTGAAATCTTCTTTAGAACTCATAAATCTGCTAACCAGCCAGCCACCTGTCACTAGGCAGCCTATATTTAATCAGAACAAGCAGTTTGAGTCCTGTTCATGAATTCTCTACCTACTCCTATGTCTCCAAGGTTTCTACCCAATTTGTCTTCCAATAGATTTAGTGTTTCTGTTTTAATATTCAGATCTTTGACCCATTTAGATTTTAATTTAGTACATGGTGATAGACATGGGTCTAGCTTTAGTTTTTGGCAAATGGAGAGCCAGTTTTTCCAGCACCATTTATTAAAGAGACTGTCGTTCTTCCAGTGAACCTGCTTGGCTCCTTTATCAAAGATAAGGTGGTTGAGTGTGTTTGTAGTTGTGGTTGTATCTTCTAATCTATTCCATTGATCTTCAGCTCTGTTTTGATTCCAATACCATGTTGATTTTACTACTGTTGCTTTGTA